AGGGACCGGCTGCGCGCCCGCCCCCGCACAAATCGCCCGGAGACTACCGACGTGCCTGATACAAAATTTATTGATCTCTCTTCGTTTGGAAGAAGGAAGCAAACGAGGACTAGGGACAGAGAGAGGGAAGGAGTGTTTCGATGACTTTTTTTTTTTTTGAAGAAATCCGGTAAACAAAACTAAAACGTTTCTTCATCTGATATGTCAAAACACGGTTCACAGTAAAATTCACAAACCAATTTACATAAGTATACAGCTTAAGAAAAACCAAGACACACAACTTACTATAAATAAAAGAAATGCGTTTGCGACCCGCACAGCTCTCTCCCACCTCCCCTTTTTTTAAGGAACAAAACCTAAAGTTAAAAACTCGTGAAAGCTACAGATTATGGATAGAAACCAACCGAGGCTCGGTAAGGTGGGAAGAACAAAACACTTAAGAAACCACAACGATAATGTGAACAACGGAGTTTAAAAACAAAAGCCCGCCGTTTTGTTTTGTTTTTGTTTTTAATGTCATTGCAGCGCTAGAAATAAAACTGGAAGATGCAAGATCTTTTAAAACTTTTAAGCGAATAAAAGAGTGCCCAACCTAGCAGAAACCAGGAAAGAAATTGCCGTGGTTTAAAAACTTCACAGCGGCTTCTAGGAGGCAGGAGTTGTGATCTATTAAAATAACAGCTTGCTCAAATACTTTTTTGTACAAAAAAAAGGACACAACTAACGGATTTCCTTTTTAAAATTTCTCCAAAGTTAGTATTAAGTCTGCTAAGCCGAGCAACACGCCGTACGTCCCGATGTAGTCAGGGAGCGGTGGTGGGGTTAGGGATTAAGACGGGGAGCCGTCCGGAGCAGCAAAGTTTATATGTGAGTTAGTGGTACGGTACCATTCACGCCAGTCCCAGCACTTTGGTAGTGCTGGTGGACGCTGTGTAACCTGCTGCCCTGCAGGGCGGAAGGGTCTGTGGCATCCCCCCCCGGGGGCAGGTACATGCTGATCATATCCCGCAGGTCTCCCAGACAGGCCCTCTGCGAGTGGGAAGTGATGGCAGGAGGCGGCGAGCTGGGCTCAGATTTCACCACCGAGCCC